AAGATCCACAGCCTCAGAAACCCACTGGGCAACTCTGCCTTGTCCTGTAGGCTCACTGTGAGTCAGAGCAGACAGTGACAGTGAGAGGCTCCTACTGCCTGAAATCCCACCTTCCACCATTCACGTCGCTTGGGCTGGCAGAACTTTCGAGATGGAGGGAGCTTTTGGACATCTCCTAGGCCCCCTGCTGTGGGCTCTGGCTGCACATTGGAACCCCCTGGGGCCTTTGGACACTGTCTTCAACCACTACCATTGGTGGCCTGGGTTACACACTCCATTTTACAGATGAGGAAACTGAGGGCCAAGGAGAAGGAACCCTTCCTGATAACACACACAGTGTATTAGTAACTGACCAGCCGCGCGGTCATTAAGGTCGGGGGAGGGGAGGCCCTGGTATTGTGTGACCTTGAGCAAGTCATGGGACTTCTCAGAGCCTCCATGAAATGGGGATAATCCTCACACATCCCCATATGGGTTGCTGTGAGAGAACATGACACAATCGCAGTAGCACAGGAGCACTGTGGTGGCAGTGTGAACTAAGCACTGGGCCGCTCACCTCAAGGTCCAAGGTTGGCTCTTCAAAACCCACCTGGGGAGGAAGATGATTTAGAGCAGTAGTGCTCCACCTTCCTCATGCCACGACCCTTTCATACAGTTCCTCCTGTGGTGGTGACCCCCCAACTATAAAATTATTTTCGTTGCTACTTCATCACTGTCATTTTGCTACTGTAATGAATCAGCCGGCCCCTGTGGAAGGTTTGACCCCCAAAGGGGACGTGACCCACAGGTTGAGAACCCCGCTGAGTCAGGTAGGGTGGCCATGAGTCAGACTTCACTCCATGGCTGGTTTTTGGTTTTGTTTCTTTGCTTTTTGAGCGGGTGCCCAGCACATACACGCTTTCAAATCATGGCCCCCTACAAATGGGAAAAAGTCTCAAATTTTGTGAAGACGGGTGTGGCTGGCTGCCTCTATCTTTCATGGTCCCTCTCTGTCATCCCAGGCTTTTGGTTGTCCCTGTCCCGGGCTTGAGTCTGGCCACTCCTGGTCCCCACTTGTCTACAAGGC